ATCTAATCAATCCTCAGACGTATCTGCTTAATAATCTACCCGCGGGTGGAATGTCACTTGTGCAGATAGAAAGTTATGGGCCAAAATATAAGTTAGGGGAGATTTTGCCTCTAGTTGAGGTATCTGCCCAGACCTCCATGCCCTAAACGGGGTATTAGTCCTGGACTTCAGAAACACTCCCTGCTGGGGAACTACAAAGTAGGCTGTCTGGCCTAAGAGAAGAAGTTGAAGACGTCTCCCATTTTAACGTCGGTACCACCTGGGGAGACCCGTGCCCTTTCGCTCTGAAACTTGGATCTCTGAAACCCAGGACTTTGGCAAGTACCTTAACCCTTTCACCTCTCTCTGATATCTCTTTGCTGTGCTGTTGGTCTCTGTATATTTATATATATATATATCTTAGTTACATCTTTTTCTATAAATATTGTTATTGCACCCGTTTGACCTTTTAGTAATAAATCTTTCCTTCTGAAAGTGTTGAACTGTTTCTATAGCGCTTTATTACAATTTACAAATTCCTGCCTCTAAAGAGAATGCTACTGTGTTTGTTTAACCTTCTGTATAACCATTGTAGTGTTATTGCGGATATCGCCGAGTTTCCTCTTTCTCTGTACAAAAAGGAGGTGGTGGCAGTGTGAAGGGTTAATTGCGTAATTAACCTGACCCAGTAACAATCGCTCAGGCTGCCAGTACATCGATTGTGGTCCAATTAGCTGGAAAATTGTTGTGCAGGGTGCAGCTGGGTGTGGCTTTGTTACGCACGTGACATCGCGGTTTTAGACTGGCTAGTCCTTCAGTCACGAGTTTAGTGAGTAGGGCTGGGGTCTGACGCCGCGTCCGTGACACTGATCATTGCAGACTGGAAACCTAACGAGCTGTAGTTTTTGTAGTTGCTCTGACCCAGTCGTCTAGCCCATTAGAATTTGGCACTTGTCAGAGTCACAGAGGTCTTTGCAGTTGCCAATATATTTTCTGCTTTAGGGACAGCATGTTCACTTGCTACCGAAGATATCCCACACATTTTCAGATGCCATTTTAACACCTTTTAGCTGTCAGTGGTCCTAATGTTATGGTGTGTGTACAGTCATGGCCGAAATTGTTGGCACCCTTGATATTTTTCCTGAAAATCAAGTATTTCACACAAAAAAGGTATTGCATTAACACATGTTTTTGCTATACACATGTTTATTCCCTTTGTATGTATTGGAACATATAAAACAGAGGCAGAAAAGCAAATATGACATAATGTCACACAAAACCCCAAAAATGGGCTGGACAAAAGTATTGGCACCCTTAACTTAATATTTGGTTGCACACCCTTTGGAAAACATAACTGAAATCAGTCGCTTCCTATAACCATCAATAAGCTTCTGACACCTCTCACCCGGAATTTTGGACCACTCTTCCTTTGCAAACAGCTCCAGGTCTCTCTTATTGGAAGGACACCTTTTCCCAACAGCAATACGTTTTCGTGAGAAATACATGATTTCCTGGAGAAATATCAAGGGTGCCAACAATTTCGGCCATGACTGTATGTATGTGTATATGTATGTATGTATGTATGTATGTATATATATGTGTGTGTGTCAGTAAAACATGTCGTTAATTGTAATAGTAAGTATTGTACAATTAAGAACTTAGTCAGTTTCCGACTATGCACTGTAATATAAATAAATTATATATAATTTTCAGGTAGGGGACGTGCGCCGGCACACTTGGCTGTGCTGTCACTGGCTCCAGCATGTGCCGATCACTGGGTCCCGGCAAACGATTTGTAGCTGGGACCCACCTATCGGTGGAGTGAGTGACAGGAGGGAGGTCTGTGTAGATAAACAACACAGAGCTCTCTAGAAACAGCAGCAATGTACCATTTTTTTGTTTCCCTTCAAAGCAGGAAATAAAAACTGGAACAGTAAACACTTTACACTTGTTATGCGCACCGTTAACCCTTTGATTGTCCCCCTTCCCCTGTCAGTGTCATTCGTAAAATGTCCGTGTATATTATTAGCACTGATCACTGTATTCGTGTCACTGGTGATGTCAGTGTCAGTTCCCACAAAGTGTCCGTGTTATATTGCCCACCGTACTATAACAGTCTGGCTAGAAGTCGCTGAGCACCGCCATTCTTTTTCTTAAAAAAAAAATAATAATTCTAGGATATATTGCATAGTTTGTAGATGCTGTAACTTTTCAGGTAAACCATTTAATATATGCGAAGTGGAAATAGTTTTTTACCAAAAATATGTAGCGGAATACATTTTGGTCTAAAAGTTATGAAGAAATTTAGATTAAAAAAAAAAATAATAATTCTATTGGATTTGCCTTGGAAAGGTGGGCTGTGTTCTATTGAAACATTGGACAGTTGGTAAAATAATTAGCATTTTCACTGCAGCTCCTACTTCGTGTTGTGTGCGTTGCGTGCGTGCGTGCGTGCGTGCGTGCGCGTTGTTTTCACAGAATGTTCTTCGAAGTTGTTCAAATCACTTTTCTCATTCAGTTGGTTTAGTCTGGTTTTTCTTTCACGTTTTACAGTTACAGAACATATTTAGTTGGATCATGGTACTCATTGTTTTATGATGTGGCGTTTTGATTTAGTTTGATAATTTGTTCCATTTGCAAAACCTGCATTACTGTTTATCTTTGCTGTGAGCCAGAAAAATGGAAAAGCCATCAAAACTTTCTCAGCACAAAACTAGAAACAGCTGGCACTAAAGTAACAATATTGTGCCAGTCCAATGAATTAACAAGGATGTGTTGTTTTACTTGAATATAACGTTAAACACAAAGTGTGGTTAATATTTTCTTATGTGCTTTTGTCCAAAGCAGAGCATGGAGATCCGGTGTTAGTAAATTTAAAATAATTTTAAGTAATGTATTTATATACAGCTGGCTTAAAGGAACATCTTTTAAATAATGAATGGCTGTTTTAAAGTAAAATAACAAACATGCCTATACTTACCTGCTGTGTGTAGTGGTTTTGAACAGAGCAGCCCAGATCCTCCTCTTCTCTGGTCCCCGCTGGCTCTCCTAGCCCCTCCCTTCTGTTGGGTGCCCCCACAGCAAGCAGCTTGCTATGGGGGCACCCGCTGCTCTGTGTGTCCATTCACACATGGAACTGCGGCTCGGCCCTGCCCCCTCTCTCTTCTCATTGGCTCCCTGTCTGTGATTGACAGCATTGGGAGCCAATGGCTCTCGCTTCCATCTCAGCCAATGAGAAGAGGGAGTCCTGAGATAGCCGAGACTACAGTACATATCGCTGTATTGGGGGAGCTGGGGGGCTGCTGCACACAGAAGGTTGTTTTTTTTTTTTTTTTTTTTTTTTTTTTTTTACCTTCAGTTCCAAGGAATGATTACAAGCATTAAACGCATTCTGTGCATGAAGTCCTCCAGTCCTGTTATCGGCTTTATCGCTCTTCTCTGGGCTCTTTCCAGTTCCAGCACATCCTTTATGAGGACTGATGACTAGAACTGGATAGCATACTGAAGATGTGGCTGAACCAGTCTTCTAATGTCATAGAATTATAGTTTTATCTCAAGTAGATAACCTTTTTAATGCTTTTAATATTCTGCTTGGCAGTACATGCTATTGCTGAACCTGTGATCTACTAGAAACTCCAGATCTTTTTCTATTCTGATTGTTTTCCTCCTGGCTAGTAATTGCATTCATGTTTTGGCCCTCAAGTGCATTACTTTACGTTTCTCAACAACAAACCTTATTTGCCGTGTGGTTGCCTTCCTCTTTGTTATTGAGATCCTCCTGTATGGTTTTTCTATCCTGCTGTAAAGTTTATTGTCTGCTTAGCTTTGTATCATACGCAAACTCTAATCTATTCATTTACTATATAATGGATGGTATAAATAGCTCAGTCTTAAACAGAATTGTTCCCAGGACAGAGCCTCGGGTACCCCACTTACCACTCCAGACCATTTTGAGTACACGCTATTTATCACCACCATTTGGACATGCCCTCTGTAACCAGTTTTCTATCCAGGTACATACACTATGGTCTAAGCCAGCAGACCTCAATATGTGAATGAAGCATTTATGGGAAACTGTATTGAATTCTTTTGCAAAATCCAAATACACTACGTCCACAGGCCTTCCTTTTATTTAAATGGTATCTCACTTCCTTGCAGAATGTTAGCAGCTTTTATAACTCCATGCTGATTATACATTAAAAAAATGTGATTAGTAGTAAATTATTGAATATAGTCCCTTATCTCCTCCATTAATTTACATATTATTGAAGTTAGACTGACTAGCCTGTAATTTCCAGGTATGTATTTCTGCCCTTTTTTTGAAGATTGCATGTGTTCACTGCTTGAGAGATTACATGCAAATGGACGCAATCAGCTGCAAGAGCCCACAGCCTCCCTTTGCTTTCAGTGAGGATGCCTCTCCTAACTGATAGCAGGAACCCCTGCTGTGTTTCTCACATATAATCTCAGACAGAGTGTATTCACAAGTGTGAATGCATCCTTAGCCTAAAGTTTGTCAGAAAGATGATGCCTCATAGTAGGCATCTTTGTTGATGCTGTCTCTTTTTAGCTAACCCACATTGGCTTGGTAAATCATGTATTAAATGTTTATAAAACAAAAAAATGTATGTTCTGTGTATAGTAGATCAGATATAAAACAGTTTTAATAATGTATACATTAACAAAAAGACAGAAAACCTTAGTTTCCATTGTAATATGTTTTCTATTCACAATATACAAATTAGAACCTGGTAAAAGATAAGAACAATGTTATCCACGAAAAGATGGCTATTGTTGTCTATTGATGACACTGACTTGCCTACATATCATGTACTGTGGAGACACACAGACTGTGCTTGTAATTTCTAGGTTCTGAGAGCAGATTTCCATTGCCTTATTGTTGCCTATTGCAAAGAGACTGTAACTATACTAGATTTCCATATTGGCAATATTACTTATTTTGGAAACCGTAATTTTTGGAAGTGACGAACAATGATATTATCCAAAATTTGTTCTTACAGATGAATGTTATACGGAGGCAGCAAAGAATGATCAAAAATCGCGAATCTGCCTTCCAGTCTAGAAGAAAAAAGAAGGAATATATGCAGGGTTTGGAACTGCGCCTGAGAGCAGCCTTATCTGAGAATGAGAGGCTTAAGAAAGAAAATGGCTCTTTGCAAAAGCTGCTGGAGGAAGTTGTATCAGAGGTAATGAAAAGAAGTGGGGCTTTTCGATTTTTGTCAACATTACACTTAATCATATTGTCTTCTATGAAATGTAAATGTACTGAAGGCTCTGGCAAAACGAACTGGTGATGTGCTGTATCTTGGGTGTAAATACCTTCCTTTAGGCAGACCGTTATTTGCACAATTGAAGCTCAACTCCAACTTCATTAATCTACTTTTAAGTTGGTTCTCTGTGCTCTCCTGATGAAATGCAGCTACACTGTCTCCTCTCAATTCAACTATTGGAAGCCTCATAATTTCCAGATTGGATGAAATCCAGCATCATCCAATCACTTCCTTTGTGCCCTGAATGCAAGGGATACTCTCCCTAGCCGCCTTGTGACGCTGGCAACACTGTTGGGCATTATTTGTTGTGGTCAGCATGCTTACCTAGTAATATCCACTTGCTTTAAATCAAAAACAATGTGCCTTTTACTCTTTATATGTTAATGTTGTAAATGTAGTGGTGCATTGCTGGCTTTGAAAACCTACAGATGCCCTTCTTGCAGATGCAGTAGGGGATCTAAGCTACTTTATTACATTCTACTCAGCCACTGCACACACTGTTCACTCTACCCCCCCTCCATGGCTGCAAGTAAGAGTTGATGGCTGCAAATAATAGTTGAAAGCAGACCCACTGATGATGTCACTGAGTCTCCAAACTGCTTGATTTTCAAGAGGATGCTTTTTGCTTTTATTGTTGGGAGATGGAAAGGAATCTTTTGGGAGGGATACATGACATGTTGCTCAACTTTATCTTATAAAGTAATGAGTTGTTACATATCATTGTTCTTTTTATTTTTTATATATATATAAACAAACACTTGATAAGATTGTTAAGGGATATCATTCATGTATTTTTCTGCAGAATCAGAAACTTAAAGTGACTGCTCCAAAGAGGAGAGCTGTCTGCCTGATGATGGTGGCTGTATTTTTAATGCTGAATTTCAACCCACTTAGGTAACATACTATTTTATAATGTCTTCTATAGCATTGTTTCAAGGCTGAAATGGTACCAGCAGGTTTATTCATGGTTAAAGCTGAACTCCGGGAAAACTGAAAGTCCTGGTTATTTGTCTAGGTGGACTGGGTGCAGCAGTTTTACTTCTCTGCTCCCGCAGACTCCTCTACATTGCTAGACTGCTCCTGGCAGCCTCTTCTTTACGTTCCAGTGATCTTGGGCCCTATGACATTTTTAAGATGCGGAGTCCACTGCCAGATTGCTTTTCTTCTACCCTAGATAGAAATGAGCAGTTAACCCTTGCAGTGTGGGCACATCCCCCTTGAAAAGGATGGACTTTTCCTGGAGTTGGGATTTAAATGTGATTTATTGTATCAGCCATGCACACAATTAAATGGGATTTGGGTGGGGAGGGGGGGGGAGAAGAGCCGAAGACCCCAAAATGATTGTTTGCAGTTTGTGCAATGTGATTTTCTCTGTTTTTTCCAAAAGGGTGGACTAGTACATTTTTAACTGTATATGTAAAGACCTCCAGACCTCTTCAGCTCAACATTCTGTTATCATGGACAAGTCAGTTCAGTCTGTAGACAAGCCAATTCTGTTGACACTGAGAACCAGATTGTTTTGTGGCTTCCTTTTTGTTGTCTTGGAATATCCCGAAAATGGATCACAGTCTAAAGGGCTGGGGAGGAGGCCTAGACACTTTGTTGGTGCAGGGAGCTTAGACGCAGCAGAAATCTTGTCTTCTGAGAAACATTTTGGAAGTCTGCATGATTTGGTTGTCCTTATAACTCTTGATGTCCAGAATAAGGTTTTTTTTTTTTTTTTTTTAATTGGATTAGTTTGAACAATGCCATGGCAGTGGTGTATGTCAACCGTCAGTGAGGAACCGAAATTGTCATTACAGTAAGAGGGGTAACAAAAATTCTGTCCATGGCAGAAATTCATGTTGCAGCCTTTTCAGCCTTTCATATCCCAGGTTTTGACCATTGGCAGGTAGACAACCTTGGTCTGCAGCGCCTGGACCCAGGGGAATGGTTCTTGCACCTGAAAGTGCTTCTGTGTTACAAGTGAGATGCCAGATATAAACCTTCTAGCTGCCAATTGGACAGATTTTTTCCAGGTGACGAAATAATCTGACGTAAGCAATGAATGCTCTGGTGTCTTTGTGGGATCAGTACAACCTGATCTACGCCTATGCTTCTCTGAAACTCTTTGCTCAGTTATTCCGTATGATCAAGATGGATATCATTCTGCCGCTTGCGGCGCTCATAGGGCTGTAGGAGATGTAGGACGTTTTGGGACCCCTGTGGATATAGAGCAGAAGTGATGTCAGCTTGGGGGCAGACCACATATACATCTTATATCTTGACATGCAAGCTATACAGTAGTGAAAATAATTATTTGATCTGATTTTGTAAGATTTCTCACAAAGAAATTAAGAGCCTTTTATCATAGGTGCATTTTAAATGAAGGCGAATATCAACCAAAAAACCAGAAAAAAACACAGGAATATACAAATGTTATAAATTGAGTTGCAGTTCAGTGAGTAAAATAAGTATTTGATCCCCTACCAACCAACAATAATTCTGGCTCCTGCAGACTGGCTATGTGCCCATGTGGTACACTAATTAGTCCTGTCAATTTAGGAAGGTACTCCTAACTTTATGTGTATTCCAACTCGTTATGTGTATAAAAGACACCTTTCCACAGAATCTCTTTTTTCCATTCAAACCTCACTACCATGTGCAAGACCAAAGGACATCAGGGACAAGATTGTAGACTGCACAAGGCCAGAATGGGCTAAAAGACCATCAGCAAGAAGCTTGATGAGAAGGAGACAACTGTTGGAGCGATTATTCACAAATGGAAGAAATACAAAATAACCATCAATCGCCCTCGGTCTGGAGCACCATGCAAGATTTCACCTCTTTGGATAAAGGATTATCATGAGAAAAGTGAGGGATCAGCACAGAACTACATGGGAGGAGCTTGTGAATGATCTCAAGGCAATTAGGACCACAGTCACCAAACAAACCATTAGTAACACAATACGCCGCCATGGATTGAAATCATTCAGGGCCTGCAAGGTCCCCCTCCTCAAAAAGGCACATGCACAGGCCCATCTGAAGTTGACCAATGAACATCAAAATGATTTAGAGAAGGATTGGGAGAAAGTGCTGTGGTCAGATGAGACCAAAATTGAGCTCTTTGACATTGACTCTACTCACCGTGTGTGGAGGAAGAAAATGCTGACTGACTCTAAGGACACCATCCCTACAGTCAAGCATGGAGGTGGAAACCATACGCTTTGGGGCTGTTTCTGTGCTAAATGTACAGGCTAACTTTGCTGCATTGAGGGGCCAATGGACGGAGCCATGTATTGTAAAACCTCGGATGAGAACCTTCTTCCCTCAGCCAGAACGCTGAACGTGGGTTGTGGATGGGTCTTCCAGCATGACAATGACCCAAAACATACCACCAAGGCAACAAAGGAGTGGCTTAGGATGAAGCACATTAAGGTCATGGAGTGACCTCACCAGTTTCCAGACCTTAATCCTATAGAAAATGTATGGAGGGAGCTGAAACTTCGAGTTGCCAAGAAACAGCCAAGAAAACTTAAGGATATAAAGAAGATCTTTAAAGAAGAGTAGACCAAAATCCCTCCTGAGATGTGTGCAAACCTGGTAACGAACTACTAGAAAGGTCTTACCTCTGTGCTTGCCAACAGGGGATTCTCCACTAAGTACTAACTCATGTTTTGCTTGGGGATCAAATGATTATTTTACTCACTGAACTGCAAATCCATTTATAACACTTGTATCATGTTTTTTTTTCTGGATTTTTGGTTGGTATTCTGTGTCTATCATTTAAAATACACCTATGATAAAAATGTAGACCCTTCATTTCTTTGTAAGTGGGCAATCTTAGAAAATCTGCAGAGGATCAAATAATTATTTTCCCCACTGTATTATATACTTTTAAATGTGAGTTGTTATAACATTAAATAGTTTGTTTGTGCATTGCTGCACTTCTTAGATGGCGCTTCCCTGTCTTTCAATACTGGGATCACACAGGAGCGGTGGGGGAAACCATATGCCATTTGGACAGGAATCACACTGCATTCTTGTTCAAACTGCATACATTGATTTGAGCCCATTCATTTTGTATGGTCTCAAGTCACACCTCAAAGGTACTCTGTATCGGTGAGTACTTGACCGAAAGTATCTGTATTTGTACTCGTCGGTATAAAAACTGGTATTGGTGCGACCCTAAGATTAAGCAAAGAAATTCACACTGTGAAATATACTAAAAGTGCATGACTAAGCACGAATAAATGTATAATGTCTACACAACTGTAAATTAACATCCACAATAGACATGCAAGTCTTCCTTTCCATATCCCACTTGTGTACAGAGTGTGTGAATATGATAAACCTCTTCAAGATGTGAAAAACATTTATTTCTTCCTCCACCGGGTGCCACACCAAAAAGGCTTACTGAAAAAATTTGATCCTCTAACCAGAGAAGTCACATAACACTTGGGATAATCATGGTTATGCCCTTTGAGGATATGACCACTTCTCTCAGATATGGCTGTCACCTTCAGTTCACAGAAGCATGTGTTTTTTTTTTTTGTTTTTTTGTATGTGAGTTGTTTCATTGATTTTAATAAAGCCTTTTTAAATGATTTTATGCTATGTAGTGCACTTGGTTTCCTGTCTTCCCATACATGCTTCTGTGAACCGGAATTGGCATCCATACCCGAGGAAAGTGGTGATATCCTGTAAGGGAATAACGATGTTTAACCTGATTATACAAAGCATTATGTGGCATGTTGCCAATGTCCACATCCTACTGTAGACAGCAGGCAGTATAAATCAATTGTCTCTAAATTTTGTGTCCCTTTTTAAATAAAGTCTAAGTAACTGATTTTACAATAAGTACAAAAGTCCTATTTTTTACACTTTTTTTTTTTTTTTTTTTAATTAGCGTTTTAGAATCCACTTCTGGAGAATTTGACATGGAGGTCAGGACAGTTAACCATAATAGACGCCTGCTTGAGTTTTCACCTGGTGAAGTCCATATGAAAAACAAGGATATCCCACAAAGTGATTTCAGGTAATTTTGGTAATATTTTATGGATTTCCATCTTTATTTTTTTATGTAACTTTTTATTGTATTTTCTCAGAGGTTATACTTGCATGTTCATATTTTGTTTGAAGTAATATATTTTATGCTTTGTTGCATTTCTAGCCTAGTGTTGTGGTGTTATAATAAGAATGCAGTTATTACTAAAGAAACCAGTAAATCTAGGATTGGCTAATTCCTTTTAAAACATGAGGTGTGTGAAGTAAATAGGATTTGTGACCAATTAAATGCAAGGAACATATGGAGTGATGTTTAGGCTCCGTTCACATCAGGAGGTGAGACAAAACGTGCACACTATTTTATGCATTCTCACTAGTCTAGTTTAGGGCAGCCCATTAATGTCAATGCGTTACCCTATGCACAAAAAATGAGCCTGCATCATTTTCAAACTTGTGCTGCACCAAACCACATGTTGTTGCAAACTGCTGGTGCTCAAGGTGAGCTAGCACATGGCTGTGTGATCTGTAATGTCTGAGGTGCAAGCCCAGTCGTAACTGATGTCTACTGAACTGAAATCCAGATGGCTGCACACTTGACTGAAAGATCCAAATAGCCATTATTAATCACCACATGTAAAAGCAACACAGATGTACAGACGGGAGGGAAGAGGTTTACGCATTTCACACTGTAGCAGTGCTTGTCAAAACCTGGCTGTTAATCTCATCATGCACACCTAAATACCTCCACCGTTAAAGTATCAGGTGTGCTCAACCATCAAAACAGCAAAACAGTTCATACTTCCATATGCAAATACTTTTCATAAGGAAACCATTTTATTTTTATATATATATATATTCACAAACTAACAAATATAGACATGTGGTACTGCATAACTACTGGACAACTATATCGGCAGTGATGGACACATTGTTCTTGAATGAAAATATATATATATATATATCTATCTGTATCAAAATGAACAAAACCTCAATCATATTAGTGGGTAAGGTAAGGTCCAATTCAAAATTTAAGACCTGGAATTCTTGTCTGAATATGAAATCTCCAAAATACTTTACATTTACTTAAAATACTACATAAATCCCCTCCCCTCCTCTGGGTTCTCACTCTTTCTATTCCCAGATTCTGTAAAGCAGTGAGTTCGTCCTCATGAACATCATTAAAATGCCTTGTGATATTAGTAGTACACATATTCAGGGAGTAGAAAGAGTGAGAACACCAAGGAGTGGAGGTGATTTATGCTGTGTAGAGTCTCTTTTTTTTTTCCCAGAAGAAAGAACAGACTCTTATTGGACACTTCTATCACATGATCATGCTAACCAATGGCCAGAAGCCCTTGCAAAATATTATGTTTCTATCCAGCTTCCAGGGCTGTGCACGGTTGTTTCAAATGTACGAAGATGTACACTGGCAGGCGGCATATGATACACAAGACAGAAAAGTGCACAACGGACAGCAGCAGTAAGGAGGCTGTTAGGAGGGTCTTAATGGTGCCTAGTGTCAACAGTGAATGGGCTGACAAAAGCCCAGATGCCATGACGCAATCTCTAGTCGCCATGGCAAAATGGCGCCTGGGGTTTGTCGAGCCCTGGGCAGAAGTATAAACCTATGTTATTTGCTCTCAAGATGTGTCCCATGATAGATTTTGAGAGAAGGATTTTACAATGAGCACACAAATCCTTTTTTCTCTACCATCCATTAAGGGACACAGCTTGATAGTAAAAAATTTAGGATGCCCTTGGTAAAATGGTGTGTGTGTTTTTTTTTTTTTTTCTCCTTGTATTGTGGACATAAATACAATTTCTGGGGATCCCTCTAGAAGCTGTACAAACTTCTTTTAGTTTCTCTAGCAACAATCTATGGTAGAGTCTAATTGGAGATAAATTAAAGGTTGTTTTTGTAGGCCCTTGCACTACATAATAAATGTACTGAAATTGTGCAGTCTGATTGCCCCTCTGTCTTTCCACTTCTGCCAGTGAGCAAACATGGTGCATGCACAGCATATATTTCTGTTTTTCTTCATGGACCGTAAATCTTTTTTAGTTTGGAATATGCATTTGGGATGTGAAACATTATATATAAACCTTGATTTCTTGCTCTATATTTCTGCCTTTTTAGTTCTGGACATTTCATGTCAGCTGAAAAGGCACTGATGATTGTGAAAGAGGAGCCATTACTCTACATTCCTGCTTCTCCTCCTTGTCGGCCTCAAATCAACCAAACAGAAACCCTTAGGTAAGTAAGAATTATATCAAAATATAGTGAGGGGAGTTTACTATGATTGGAGCAAACAGAATCTCGACCTGCTGTACATGACAACCAGTCAGCTTCCATCTTTTATTTTCAGTGCTTAAAGTGACACTAAACTTTGGTTTAAAAACAATGCTGCCCAAGTGTGTATTTTTGACTCAAAAATTTACATTCTGTAGTTCTCTGCCTTCTACACATTTCCAAATTTTTATTTTTCACTGCTGTGATCTGACTTTGTTAGAAGGTGGCTATGTTGAGACGCCATGGTCCCACTGTATGTACTAATGTAGTCACCCACTCCTTGCTCACTTCCCCAATGGACTAGAGACTATGGACTTTGGGCTTGCAGTGTGTGTAGAGTAGTACAAATGACCTCAACAAGCATACACTGCTGGTTCCAAACAAAGGGAAGTGGAGGGGGAAGAGTATTTGAAGGTCACAGAAGATGTTATAAGGAGGCAGAAAATACTGCAGAATATTTTTTGAGAATGAGGATAATGTTTAGTGTCACTTTAACTGAAAATAGACAAAGGAAAGAGGCACCTTGTGCAGTAACCTTTGTTAAATGACTGCAATAAAAGTTGCACTCACAATAGTAAGCTTGTATCGGACATATATCATCCACTCCATGTGGATATCGCCGCCGTTAAATTTCTCGTGCAGCCACCATCAGAATGACACTTCAGCCATTGGCTGCAGCTTCACAGCTGAGCACACGCCGCTTCCTCCCATGTAGCACTGCTTAATGTGAGCATTCCTCACTGACTTATTTAACTGTCAGCGTGACAGTGAGGAGAGCATGTGCTCAGCCTGTGGAGCTGCAGATGATGGCCAAAGTGTCATTCTGATGATGGCTGCAAGAGGAAATTAACAGCAGCAATATCCACATGGAGTGGATGATATGCCCGATACAGGTTTATTATTTTTAGTAATTTAATACAAGTTACCGCACTAGGAGCCTGTGCACTCTCTTTTCTAGTCTAATTACAGCTTATGGTGTCCTGCTGGTACAGAAAGCAGCAAAGTTTCCCAAGATACAGCAACCTTGATACGATCATTGCTACTTTCAATCCGTGTTTTGTGAACTCATTGGGCAAGTTACCTCTGGCATTAGCGGAAATCACTAGTCAATTTGTGTTTTTGTCTTTAACTGAACAAGTGGAAGTTAGACTTTGGAGAAGCTGTACTAATAAGCAAGCAGCTTCTGTCTGCTCTAACTTTAGTAAGTTCTCCGAATTGTATGTTGCGTTTGCATAATCTCTTTATTTTTGGATAATCCAGTCGAAAAGGAAAAGCCAGTTATTGTTTGCAGTATAATAAAAACAAAACAATTTCTTGTATAGTGAACTGCAATGTAGTCAAATATAGTTTTTTTTTTTTTCTTCTTCTTTGCTTGTCACAGAGGTCAGTAGACCCACTGTGGATAATGGTTTGTTTAGAATTGCTTTCCCATGCTTGTTCTGAGTCCAGGTTCCAGACAGGTAGACAGGGCAGTGATTGACAATAGCAAAGTAAAAGCCGAATGATGAGTATAGGATAAAGTAAAAATGCGGTTTAAACAATTTGCTAATAATCTCTAAAGCAGGGGCGGAATGACAACTCATGGGGCCCCTGTGTTCTTGCCCAAACTCAAAAAAGCCTATGAAAAAGGTACCAGTGGCATCTCATGGGGCCTCCTACTGACCCCGGGCCCTCTGGCAGTGCCCGAGTTTCCAAATGGTCAGTCCGCCCCTGCTCTAAAGCATAAACATTCCAACAGAAGTCTGAGCCTGACAGACCTCTGTTCAGGGCATGAGCAAACTGTAGAATTCAAGATCACAAATCGAAACCATAGAGAGACCTGAGCAGCGGTACAGAGCAACAGCCAGTAGGTGGGGTAGGCTGTTCATTACATTACCTATTTGTTGACACTAGAAAACCTTTTTTTCACAGTTTTTTTTTTCTTTTTCTTTTAGTACTATTTTTGAAGCATCAATATGATTCAGGGAGTGTTCACATTAGCCTGATCTTTTTTCTGTTTGCATGGGAAAAGTAGAAGCTGAACTTCAAGCATGCAGAATAAGAACCGGTTTCTGTCACCCACTATCTAGATTTTGCATCCGGTTTTAGTTGTTTCCTTGAGATCATTTCTTAGAAATGTAAGAAATGGAAATGTTTCCAAATTGTAACCACTATCAATTTAGGCTCCTTTTGTGACATCAACATTTATGTATTTTACCACACGGTCTTAGAACCAGTAATGAGATTTTCGAAAATCTGTTTTCAGGATTCATAGCAGTGGTATTCAGTTTTATCTCATGAGCCACATGTGGGCCTTCTAAACTTAAACATCAGTGCTGCTGCTGTTCTGCATGTTCCCCTTCCTTCAGTGTTTTTCTTTACAGAATCTTTCTTCTTTTAGCAAAGGGAGGTTATTAAGAAATATAGGTCTGAGGGGCAAGAAAGATATAAAATAGTTCTTTGTGTTCCCCCTGTAGTTATTTTTATTGCTGACTTTGCCTATCCAACCCAATCCAATCCAGAATATTGGCAGGCATTTGCAGTTCCTATGAGTGCAGCTCAGTGTTCACTCAGGCCTGGTTCACACCTAAGCATGTTGCAATCTGTGAGAAAAAGCGTCCCTGACCCTATTCAAAAATGCAACGTCTTAAAATGGATAGATGTGAACGTGTCCCATAGGAAACCATGTTGAATGGGCTGTAGTGAGTTTCTGCAAAATACAAAAAGCATGGAAAAACACATAGGTTCGAACCAGGCCTAAGTAAGCCTGTTTTAATTATTGTACTGTCATCTACTAATTGACTACTGTCATTACTTTTTTCAGAGTCTTTATTCATTGAGGGACATTTAGACAATTGAGTTACACTGCTGCCTACAGGACAATTTAGAAAAAAAAAAACTAGTGCTGTATAACCCCACCCACTCCCAGCATGTCTCCATTTTTTTTTTTTTTGCTAGAATCCTCAGAGGATGAATGCCTTTTTTCTGGTGAGAAATTTTTTCTTTTTTTCAAGATTTTTTTCTTAGATCCAGATTCTCCTATATGCTTCTTGATCAGGTCTTTATGTGCTGCTTATTGAATGGGCGTGTCCTCAGCAGTAGCTTTGAAGACCATATCTGGTCCCTGTTGGACTGGACAATTGCAGGACTCTCCTTGCATGTGACCTTTGGGCACTGGGCTCTGCATTTGTAGGGTTTTGTTAGTGTTTTTTGGGTCCAGAGGCAGGACACAGCCTTGGTGTGACCCAGTCTCTAATAACTCAGTTTGTGAGTAGGCTGTGTTTTGAAAGTAACACATTTCTTTCACTGCTGCTCCTTCAAAGTGACATGAAGATCTTCCTTGGTTGGTCTTTGCTACCTGCCCACAGTGATCCAGTCACCTCTGACCATCTGAGCCTCTTCTATGACCAGCAACCAGTTCATGAATATCTAAGGTTCAGTCTTGCACCCTGAGCTATATTGTCTTTGCCTTGCTGCGCAGCATGTCAGACTACTAGGAGCAGTCCCACTGTAATGTGTCCCAAGGTCACAGTCCACTTACGCTCCTGGTGCTGTTTGCAGTGCACACAAATGATGGCCTGACACCAACATCCTAGAATGCTCCTTTTTGAACCTTTGCACTTCAGAGTCTTCCTAGGTTCCATCAGTCATACCCCTTTCCTTGCAGAAAAAAACAAAACAGGGCGCACTCTCCTCGTGCATTAATGCTAAAACCAAAAATGTATTAAAAAGATGCAAAAACATACTCACAAGCCATAAAGGTCATAAAAACAGAGACAAAAAGTCAAAGGTGCCTATCATGGACAGCATGCGTCCTCAGATGCACTTTACTTGTGTCCCTAAACAGGGTAAAATGACAAATATCACTGAACCAGACGTGATAAACACTTGGCATAAATGGATGCCCAGAAAAAGTGCAGTGAAACGATGACTGACAAATGGCACTAGTCGTGCCTTAATGACTGAACAATGAGACAGTCAGGATAAATTAACCTGACTAAAGACAATAACATAGGACTATAAAAAAATCCTTCCACGTATATGTGCAACCAACATGTGACAGGTGCCCACATACAAAAGTGTGTGTATGTATATGTGTATATATACAGTTGTGTTCAAAATAATAGCAGTGTGTTGAAAAAAGTGAATAAAGCTCAAAATCCTTCTAATAGCTTTTATTTCCATACACACAAATGCATTGGGAACACTACACATTCTATTCCAAATCAAAGCATGAAGAAAAATATATATCAAATTTGTGTTGTTCCTCTAAAAAAAATTGAAGAAAAGTGAATATTAGACTGTTAAAAAAAATAGCAGTGTTTGTATTCTTTACAAACTCAAACATTCACTATAAACTGAAAAATGTTTGAAGATTTTGCTTTCCTTTGAATCACTTAATTAATATTTAGTTGTACAAGCACTGTTTCTGAGAACTGCTGTACATCTGTGTTGCATGGAGTCAACCAACTTCTGGCACCTGTGAACAGGTATTCCAGCCCAGGATGATTGGACTAGATTCCACAGTTCTTCTCTATTTCTTGGTTTTGCCTCAGAAACTGCATTTTTGATGTCACCCCAAAAGTTTTCTATTGGATTAAGATCCGGGGATTGGGCTGGCCACTCCATAACGTCAATCTTGTTGGTCTGGAACCAAGATGTTGCACGTTTACTGGTGTGTTTTGGGGTCGTTGTCTTGTTGGAACACCCATTTCAAGGGCATTTCCTCTCCAGCATAAGGCAGCATGACCTCTTCAAGTATTTTGATGTATTCAGACTTATCCATGATCCCTGGTATGCGATTAAATAGGCCCAACACCGTAGTATGAGAAACATCCCCATATCATGATGCTTGCGCAACCATGCTTCACTGTCTTCACAGTGTACTGTGGCTTGAATTCAGTGTTTGGGGGTCGTCTGACAAACTGTCTCCGGCCACTAGACCCAAAAAGAACAATCTTACTTTCATCAGTCCACAAAATGTT